GAAAAAACAAAATTAATAACTAAAAATAACTATAAATGTATTGGGTGTCCATGGGCTTGTCCATTGGACATGGTCTTTATAGGGTTTGGGCGTTTTTGTGGACCATAGCCCAATATCGACCGCCCATTAATAACCAAAATATAAATGGTCCAACTGGTCCTGCCCAAATGGGCTTTGGACAGACCATTTGACAGTACTACTTTCAGATGTTTAGCATTCTCCCGTTAGGTCGAAAAACATATTGATGCATGCTTGGGAAATATTTCATGCTTAAATATAATACGTTACTACTCTGTAGTCATGAGATAGGTCAAGAGTGGTTAGTTAGAAGCATGTAATTAATGTACTAGGACATATGACTTAATGCTTGAATAACATTTTCTGTTCAGAAAAAACATGTTTACAAAACATTTTTGAATATGGATGAATGCTCTTGTTGAGCATGATATATAACATATTTCAGAAATTAATTATTTAGATTCTGATAAAGAAGACTGAAGGGGTTCTTGGAAATGTATACAGCATGCAGAAGATGATAGAGAGATGTGAGATACATAGGGGAGAGCATTTTGGAGCAGAGAGACTCCAAAAACAGCAATATGTGCAAGAGCTCAAGAACGAAATGGCGATAACGATGGACAAAATTGAACTTCTTCAACTTCATTGCCGGTAATTAAGTTTTTGATCTTTCTATATATATATATATATATAAATATATATATATATATATATATATATATATCTACTGCACACATATGTTTTCTTGCCATGCAATATATGATTGTATATACACTCTGATAACATCTTAAGGAAGCTGATGGGGCAAGATTTGGATTCGTGTTCAGTGGAGGAACTCATGGAGGTAACTACCAAAATTGAGAAAAGTCTTACGATTGTCAGATCAAGGAAGGTATAAATGCGTATATAATTAATACAGAAATAAATATAAATTTATTCTCATAACTGCAATCGTTATATTGTCATAAATAATGCGTTGAAACATGTGAGATCTTGAAACCGAAATGCTGACCTCATTCCGGATGATTATGGCAGGCTAAGTTAAATGAAGATCAGATAGTGAAACTAAAAGCAGAGGTACTATTAGTAATTAGTTTTATTTTTTAAGGGAAATATATTTCTAAGTTTGCTTGTGAATTTTGTTTACTTTACTTCATCAGATTGTTGGAGAGAGTGATGACTTGAACGAGAGAAGTAAGCTGCGCCAAATGGTACACACATATACATAATTCAAGGACATGCATTGATTCATTAATGCACAAGCATGACTTTAGACATGAATCTCTAAGTATTTACTTTTCTTCTTCCATGGAATTAAGAGAATATTATGTTATCATTTCAGTTTGAAGAACAGCCCATGTGGATGCAATCAAGGAGCCTAGCGAGTGAGAAGAGTGCACCTTCCTGTAGTTGTGGCCACATGAACTTATCGGATGTGGAAACTAACCTGTCCATCGGATTTCCTCAAAATCGAGTGTAAATATAATCAACAGGGTTCTTGTTATTATCCGGACATGTATATTTCTACTTCTGAATTGAATGGATCTCTCTATACATATGCATCAGGAATAAAGTTGTGTAAAAATGTTAGTATTCTATTCTCTAAGATATTGCTTTATATTTATTTCCCTTTAGTAGAGCTGGAAAACTACTAGAGTTTTTATATGATAATGGTATAGTGTATATATGACTTTGTGTCGATTTATTATACTAATAATATCAATAGTGGTTAAAATAATATAATATTTTTATACTAATAAAGTCCCCATTGCACTAGCTCTGCTATGTACTTTTGAGCTATTAAATCCAGACATTTAATAGTTTTGACTGCAAATTTACTTGTCACAAGGCCCACAATTACAACCCAATAGATGACAAATGTTTTCATTAGAGTATTTATATTAAATAGCCATATCTTTAAAAATAAATCAACTATATATATACATAATTTATAAGGTATTTAGAAAAATAACAAAATTATGTAAAATGGAAGGAGTATTTTATCAGACCACGAGTGATTAAACTTCGAAATTCGAATGATGGTTACAACAATTAGTAACCTATTGCTCAGCGAGATGCAAAACGCACACAGTTATGTTATGCGTTGAGTCTCTCGTTAGTCGTTTAAGAATAAAAACACAGACACTATTCTAGAATAGTCCTCATCACGTTCCCACATATATAAAACATTCGTTATTACTATACTAATACGCCTCGTTTATTTCCTCAAACGCAAGATACCGTTTCTAGCACGAGTGCGTCTAAGATATGCCGCTCAATCTCAGCGATGACCCTTTCCTCTTCTTCTTCAAGTTTCTTCATCCCCGGAAGATATTCAAAATACATTTTGGTTCGTCCTGTGGTCGAGAAGGTGGCACAAATAGTGGTCGAACCGCAAGAACTGGAACTTGGGAGTTCTTGAGAAACCTTCTCTTCGTAGTTGTACATCTGACCGGAGGATATAGTCTCATCTGCGTTACGTTCCGGTCTTTCAGCCCTTTTCATCTAGAAAGTTACATGAAAAATCAGTTTTTTCAAAAAAAAAAGTTACATGAAAAATTAGTGACTGTATAAGACAAAGGATCTGGACACGCCAGTAAAATATTAGTCTTGATCCCCAATTATTTAAGTAATATACATAGACATAAACTTCTAAATTTTTGAAAATAAATTATTTAATCTCTAATTAGATTTATCCAAACACATATAGCAATCTTTATATTTTTCTTAAATAAGTTTGGAAACCTTCCATAATTATTTGAGAGTAATTTTGTAAGATTTATCTATTTTCTCTAAAATCAAATATTCATATTACTTCATAATAAATATATTTTTACATTATCCGTATGGTTTATAAAAATTATATTCACATTTATTTAATTTTCTTACTCAGCCCATTAAGCTGATGAAAAATTAGTTCCAACAATATTTATAGCTTTCAAAAATGTTAGAGTCGACCCAACCCTAGAGAGAGAGAGAAAACATAGACATGTGTACCTGTTTCCGGGGACGTTCAGTGGCAGAGACAGCTGGTGAGTTTGAGAATTGCTTGCATTCTTTCTTGTGTAAAGGATCACATCTTGATGTAGAGATGAAAGCTTGTCTCTGCTTGTTTTGGTTATTGGGTGTTGAATGAGGAGATAACTTTGATTCACTACACACTTTCTTGCATACGTTGATAGGTCTTAGAGGATGTACATCTACGCTTTTGAGGTTCTTCTTGGAATCTTTTGAAAGGGTCAGCTTCTTTGTTGGTTCTTGAGAGATCTTATTTTTTTTGGACACATATGTGGGACTGGAGCTTAGAGTGTTCTCTTTCTGTAAAGACATGCTTCTCACTTTCCTATGCTTATTCTGGTCTTGTCTTGGCCCTGCCCTTCTGTTCTCAAGCAAGTTTGTTATATCCATACCAACTCTTCTAGTGATGACCCTCTCATTATCTCCATTTTCCTCATCTTTCAGCCTCAAACTCCCAAAGTCTTCATGCTTGTTCTCTCTGTTTAGCTGAAGAGAGAGGCGACGAGCGTCGGAATCAGAGGAAATCCTGGGGCTCTCAGGCAAAGATCTTGTCCCTGAGCAGTTCTTAGTGAGTCTATGCCCTCTTACACTTTTCCTTGATGATCTATTAAGGTCTAAGTTATCAGGGAGAAGATCAAGACCCATGAGTCTAGCCACCAGGTTTGGTGACTTAGCGCTAGGTGAGTTGCAGTTACCAGGGAATGTGTCAGAAAGAATAGTTCTAAGGTTAGACCTTTTCCCGCCCACCTGCGTTTGAATTTGTCACTTGGCTACTACATTAGTTACTCTTCAAATGTAAATAAAACCATTAATGCTGACTTACAGGGATGTTCAAGGTGTCTTCTCTCTTGTAGTTTGTTGATATTGAAGACTCTTCTGTTAACTCCAAGCTGTTTCGTGGCGCAACCAGGCCTGAAAGTTTCAGTAACAACAACAACACTCCCAAGTGCTTTATACAACGAACTTAATCATCTATAAAACTAAGTCTTTATTTTCCTTGGTCCACAATCAACATGTTTTGAACCCACAAAATGATTACCAAACAAGCATAAACGTAAAGAGAGGAGAAAGAGATAGTACCTTTTGGATATCTTGAGGGAGAATCAAAACTTGGTTGGTGGTGATGATGATGATGACGTGAAGTAAAGTAAAAATGGTGAGAATGAAAAAAGTGGTAAAGAGCAGAGATGCAGCCATTAGTTTCACTGGATTTGCTCCTGGATCTGCCTCCACTGGACCATTCTCTTCCCATGTTTGTTAAGACAAAAGTCACAAAACTTGTCTTCTTCTTTTGTTATTTACTTCTAACGCATAAAGACAAGTGGCATATGAAAATGGACTGACAAAAGAAGAAAAAGGAAGAACAAGATTCTTTGCACGGGCAAAGAAAAAAAAAACAATATGTATATCTTATGTTATTTTGGTTCTTGAGCTTCTTTTTATTTCCTGAGAGAGCTATCAAAAGAAAGCTATGTAACTTTATTACTGCACTGCATTGGTAAACGAGCATATGCTATTTAAAAATGTGACAGAAATACTTTAAAGATGAACCGTACTAGTAAATTAATGCATGGTGAGATGATGATAGTTAGCCACGCATCTCTCTCTCAGAAGAGACAGCTTGAGTATTACAATATGATTCCAACCACACTTTATGTTTCTCTACTATGGAACTTTCTTTGGGGGTTTTCAAGTTTCGAAGACTTTACAAATTAAGGTTGTCTAGATTTCTTTTCTTGGTGATTTACAAAGTAGAAGAATATTTTTCGTGGGTTTCAAATTAAGGTAGTTACAACATGACCACATGTTTCAAACGTTCATGGATTTATGAAGTATTGCAGAGCTGCAATGTCTTGGCATTTACTAGGACTTGTCTTGTCTCACTATTATTTGCCAGTTTCAAGTTTCAAACGATTTTTTAGTTCAACTCTTCTCTAACATTTTCTTTTTATGCATGTACTTGGAATACATATGTTAAAAAAAAATTCTTTTCTGTTGTTTTTAACAACTTTTTTAATCATAAATTTATTTGGTCAATTTAAGGAAACGATGAGAGTGATTGGATGGTTTGTAAGTAATGACTTTAACTTTAAATTCTATCTATAACCATTTAAATCATCAATCATGCTTTAAGTAGTTTTTAAAGATAAAGTCAAAAAATGGGAAAGTGGTTGTAGGAACCCTATTTTCTAAATCAAAAAATTATTGTTGTAAGAATATCTTTTCTTTTATATTTTTTTTTCATTTAATTTCTACAGCAATATTAAATAGAACTACATCAAAAACATCTAAAGTCTAAATTCTACAGTAAAATTTTTAAATCTACAGTTCAACCAATCATCCCGATATTTGGATAATAATGATTCCGATTGCAAATAGTTAAAAGAATCAAACGAGAAATATTTGGGCAACAAAATTATATTTTGTTGCTGATGTATAAATTCGGTCCATTACAGAAGACAACCTGTTTGTGGAGACGTATCTCTTCAATGTATGGGCTTCTAGTAATGTGCTAGTCCATTTAAATTTGATAAGGCTGATAGCCCAACCGTCCGTTTTAAATCTTACATATCCGTATATCCCAACGTATTATAAATCTGCAAATATTGGATATATATCCTCTTTGGCATATGCTAATGCTATCTCAAATTACATGCAACTATTTTGGAACACTAGCAGAAAGTCTTTAATTATACAGTTATTGATTGTAGATGGTAATTAACACTGACATTTATATATAAACTAATTGCAAATTATTTGGAATAGCAAACTAGTTAGGTATGTCTGTTTTCACATTTGTGCTTGTTTTGTAGAGCCTTTTAGAATGATATATATGAAGACTGTTCACCCAAAAATTATTGATTGGGTAGGCAAGAAGATCTTCTTTTGATTATTGATTCCATATCTGAATCTCGAGGACACGACACCTGCTGATGGAGAAGTACATGGGCGTACATGAGGATACGTTTGGCTACAAATCAGTATCATATGATTATGGGGCTAAATTAACTTACACACGGGCACACACACAAATTTTTGGTCAACACTTATAAAAACACCCCAATAGTAGTATATATATATATATATTAATATTTAGTTATGAGATTTTAATTTTACGAGAAATCTAATCCAATTTTTTTTTTGTATAAAGATATTTTTGGTTGAGTTTCTCGTAAAATTAAAAATATTAAATTAAATATTAATATAATATATATGTATATTTAAAATCTCTAATATTAGATACTCATATTAGGGATGCTCTAAGGTACAAAGCTGAAACGATTGTTACACTATTAGCTAGGCTGTCATGGATCTTCCTTTTAATTACTTAGTTCACCATTTGATCCGTACGTGTACAAACATAACTCTAGATCAAATTAGCCAACTGGGAAAGATATATATACGTATATTCATTTCATTAGTTTCTTATTATATTCTTTTTGAAATGTTAAAGACAATAGTGTGTTTTACATTTTAAAATTTATAATATTAATATACAATGCCATCAAAGCTCTTCAAATAATCTAGTTTGTATTCAGAAGTGGTACAAGATCGAATTAATTGTATTTTTTGATTGTTGTTAATGGTTTGTATGGTTATTACACTGGTAGAAAATAGTATCGGCTTTCAGTATTATAAATTCTTAATATACCCCATTGTTCTTAAATTAAACGTCATGAGACAATATCTTTATTGGAACACAATCTGATTTCATGATCATGAATTTGTTGGACGGCATCTCAAAGTTGATAATAAATTAATTTAATCACCAATAATGATATAACTAAAGATATCATCAAACGAATATATGGGAGATCTCAACAACTCATCATGCGTATCTCTTAGATGAGTGATTCTAACATTAGAACTAATGTGATTCTAATTAATATGCTTATGGGTGTATATACATAGGAAAAGAGGAGGCAAAAGAAACCAAGATCTTGGGGATATGTATACTTTTGTGTCGTATCGTGAATTACAAATAGAATGGAAGATTTTGTAATTGTATATTAGATAATCTTCATAGTTTCTTAAAGTATGATAATATTTTAACTCGTTCAATTACAAATTAATATGAAGATTAGAAAATAGAAAGGTGGTTCTGTGCATTGCATTTAGGATTTTTCTTTATGGCAATATGCTTCTTCCTTTTTCGGAACAATCATAACCGTTTAACAAATTCTTTATAACAAACCTAGTATTTGTTTAGCAAACAAAAAAAAAACCTAGTATTTGTGTCGTGAGCTATTACAGTGGTTTCATCCATTTTTGCTTGCATGTCAATGTCTTGCAAAAATTTTGGCCTCCTTTATATGTTTTTATGAACTTATATATATGACCAATGTTTGATGAGAGGTCATTTGATTAAGATATCAATTTGTTATCTCATTTACACAGTTACATGGTCCGATCCTTTGATAGTGTGAGGCCTTGTGGCACATGGATTTTACACGTATACTGACACACACGTATATAGTCATCTAAAATTTCGTAATGTCGATGTCATTTAATTTGTATGATTGTGTGTATGCATATATAAGAGTGTCACCTTACGTACACTCAAACGAGTATTACTATCTGATAGTCATTTGGATCCTTTATTTAACACGTTCGGATTGCTCAAACGTTTGTTTTTTTAAATCATGAATTATATTTCTAATTCATATATCTTATATGGTTTCTCTTATTTGATAGCTAGCTCACTATGTCGCAGAAATAAGGGGTTATCCTTCTCAATTTTCAGTCCTATATATGTATTAAACATCACATAAAATATGGAAGATAGCGAATATTAATAGCGAACAGACATCTGTAGTTAGGTCGTGAACAATCTTGCAGATTTTGATCAATAGAGACCAAAATTTGGTTCCCACCTACCCTTGCTTCATATAGAATATATAATATTTTCATCATGAAGCTTTGAATCTCGATACAATTAAAGCATGAACGCAAAGGGTAGCCTACATGTTGGTCTCTTCATACCTTTCTGGTTAAAACTAGGCGGTATATATTATGCTATCACATTTGTTACACCAATCTGCCCTTACCAAATTTTCCTTCCAGTAAGACAATGATGGGACATATATTATATAGAACCCTTATACTCGTACTAAAACCCCGCATTGAAACATAACAATGGATGATCATATAACAATGGAATGATACAAAATATTATAATGAAAGGGAAACATGATAACTGAAATTTGGAGGTCATAAATAGAAGCAAAATGTAAAGCAAACACAGAAAACCCTTAAATGGTGAGTAAAATGCAATGTTGCGAACATCAAACCCTTGGTCTTTACGGTGAGGGCAGTGAATGATGGTGAACTTTATGACCTAGCTACCCCTAAAGTCCTTTTGAAACATAATAACAGCACACACTTTAACTTGTTTAACCGAAGCTACGCCTACATCCAATAATGAATTTCAAGGTCCGCTCCCAAGATGAAGTTTCAAGATAGCTTTAGATATTTCTGCATTTTAGCATACCATGAAATTAGTTAGAATATAAACTATACTTAGGTTGTAAATGCATGAAAATATATGCCATATCGAACGTATATAGCATATTTGTGTTTCATTGGTACACTAGTTAGAAAGCATGTCAAAATCTTATATCTATTGGTCATATATATATATATATATTTCATAATAGTTAAATACACACACATATATATATACACACACATATATATATATAAAGTTCACGAGCAAGATACCGATTGGAACACCGAAAATATAGTATCTACAAAACACTTTTGCTTATATTAATACCAAATCTAAAAAGAGAAATAAATTTGAAATTATATTTGGTAAAGTTCAACAGTACTTGGAAAAGAGATCATACGATGAAGAAGTTTTTTAAACTAAGAATGTTATGTTTCTTAGTTATTAATTAGTACCCCGGCGAAAGGATCAACTCCTCAACTAGCTTCTGCTGCAACCAAGCTAAGTCCAAGCATCCGAAAGTATTAACCTGTATTGAATATAGTTATATATGTATATATATAGTGAAAGCCCTAGACTAATTTAAGTGCAATTGACATGGCATATTGTAACCATACCTCGACTTGAATAGTGTGTATGAGCCTTTCATTTACTCGTGCGGTGACAGAGTTGATGACTTCAAGCCCTAACTCCTGAAGTGCCTCAAGCACTCGTGAGAGTGGCAAAGCATCAGGACCTGACGAGTTGCTGCTCACTGCCACTTCGAAACCGTTCACGCATGGTTGCACAATCAAACTCGCCGGATCGGATTCAGTTCTTGCTAGGTCAGGATCCGATCTCTGACATGTTTCTCTTCTTAGCTCGTCTCTTTTTGCACTGAGTTCTTTAATCCGTGTTTCAGTGTCCTTAATGAAATCCACCGCTCCATTTACATGATCCGCAACAGCTCTCTTCCCCTAAAAATTCCAAAAGAAATTAAGAAAAAAAAAAGTACATGTTCATAACCCTAGCTAGAAGACAAATCCCACCAAATCTTGTTTCTTGTCTGAAAAAGTTAGTAAGAATATGAACCTTAATGTATGGGAGAGGTAGGTGACTACGAAGCGAAGCATAGAGTGTAGCCATTTCTTGTCTTCTCTGGCGTTCGATGTCGCGGTGGAGAAGCTTCTTCTTCTTCTTATTGTCATCTATTTCATGGGGCATATCGGAGCCGCCGCTGCTACCACCTTCGCCGGCTGAACCAAATGGTCTCTGTCGCTGGTACCCTTTAGGATTAGGATTCTTATAAGGATCCATAGTTTGACACTTTGAGCTTCAATAATGCCAGATCTCCCTAGGATTTTGTGATTATGTCAATTCTTCTATTGTTTACTCGTTAGCTTTTTTATATTGGTGCCTTAAAGAAACAAATGGTTCTCTTAGGACCATTCTCTTAATATAGAAACAATAAAGAATTTAAGAGAACCAAATAATGCAGCTTTCAGGAATTACATTTTTAACCTAAATATTTTTCCTATCAAATTTGGTTAAAACCTTTTTTTTTCTTTTGGGGCTTAGCCTCGGCTTGTGTCCTTGGACCTTCTCAGAAAAAAAAAAACATTTTCTACCACTTTGAAAACTAGGCATGGTGTGTAGACATGGCTCGTTCATACTAAGAACTTATTTTGTCAACATTTTGTAACATAAAATGTAATATGCATAATAATATGTAAGAAGAAAACAGTATGTAATTTGGATTTATAGTGAAACAATTGGTATACTAACACAAACTACTAAGCTACAGTTTTTTAGCCTAAGTTTTTTTACTAAATCACTTTAACAAATAGTTTATCAAAATTATGTTTACAATATCTCTTATATACTAAAAGAGAAACATTACAATATTTTAGCTATGATACATGTCATCACTAAACATATTTCGCAAATATCTATAGAAATATGTTGGTCCAATAAATATATACTATAGTTCTCATCAATGTATGTGCGTTCCTTCGAACGCGAGCTTTAGAAAGTAAAGCTTCTCTTTGGGTATCTTCTCTCCTTAGCCATATCCATCTTTAATCTTGTTTTAATTATTTTCGTCTATTAGTTTACCGTCAAATTTTCTTCTAGTTTTAATCGATTTAATCCATTGGACTTTTAATTTTAATATAACTGTTTGGTGTTAAAGAAAATTCTCATCAAACTAATCATAAAACTAATTAACAATATACAATTCATAATTTTATTTATTACCTTTATAAAAACTATGAGATTATTTAATATGATGAAAATATATATATGTCAATTAATGGTTTTAATAATGAAATTTTGATAACATTTTAGATATCCTCCATAATTTATGTTTTGTTTTATACTATTAGCATAAAATAAAGAATCATGTTAACCATTATATATATATATATATTAAAGTATATACCATATAAAAAATACACAAATATTTTATTTTCAAAATTTGCAGTGAATTTTCTAGAAGGATTATAAATTGTTAAAATTATTAAAAGTTCACACTGAAGATTTTGTTATCACGGGTTTACAATTTTTGTTATAAACAAATACAAATAATCATCAAACTATATGATTAATAAATCTCATTTAATAGATTTATATATTAGTATATCTATATATATATATCATTTAAATATAACCATACAAAATATATAAAGTGATTTTCAGATTTATTTACCAGAAAATGATTATAAATAAACAAGAGTTATTGTTTTGATGTGTTTATGTCAATTTAATTATATATATTATAATTAACTATTTTCAATTAATTACTATATATTTATTATTTTTTTAGTTTTATAATATGTAAAAACGTAAAAATAAATAATAATAATAATACGTAAAAATAGTTTTTATATACAAAGCTTACACAAGACGCATATCTTAAACTAATACAGTATTATATTGAAACTGTACACAAACTAAAAGGCACTATTGAAAAACTGAGATAAAAGATAAATGAGTTTTAGATGTTAATCGCATATAAAAACGATGATACTTTTATCTGTTTAGCAAAACTTTGAACTAGGTCTAATTTATGTATGTTAACAATTTTGGTCAAAGCATATACCCTCAAGGGAAAAAAAGAAGTTTAGGCAAATTCATCCTTCCGGCCATCAAATATCAGCGTTAAACAAAAAGAGGCATTGAACATAAAAATGTCAAACCGACAAAATTGCATAGAAACAGAAGTGAAAATGTGTCCCTATCCACATTTGTCTTTATGAATTTATGATCGCACACAACTAAGGATACATTGACATATGTGGACGTGGAAGCCTAATCGTGTCCTAAGACTCGGATACATGAAAGATAAGTGATCACATCTCAGCCATTTGTCTTGTTATGGTCGCCTGTGGACTGCCAGCTTTTGATGTGCACCTGCTCACACTGCAACTACTCTTGTTAATCATATTACTTATTATTTAAACCCCCATATCCATTGCGTATCATAGATATTGTGTATATTTATTCCTCTTAAGAAGATACTATACAATATAATATGTTCTGGATAAAAAATACGGTGATATCCTTCCGACGTTCCCATTTTTTGTTTCTTATTTTTTTAAAAGAAGCATTTTTGTGAAGGTTAGGACTGAGCATTTTATTCATTAAATTTGATTCAATTTGTTATTCGTTTCGATTCAATCTGAAAATTTCGAATATCCGTAAACTTGCGAATCAAAGCAAATACTAAAATTCAATGTCCGTTAAAATCGAAGCAAATCACAAATATTAAAATTTTAGGAAGCGGATATCCGATCCGATCCGGAAATATATATAAATATATGTATCTTTTGATTATATTTAAAATTTTAAATGTATAAAATTATATAATTATTATTCTAGCACATAATTTTGAACAATTCTATTTATATTATTACTTATATAAAAATTATTACATAAAAAGAGAGAAAAAGTTTATGACAATTATAATTTTTTTTTTAAATTTTGTGTTATTATAATTGTAACTTAAACTTAAAGAATTACAAAATATGTAAATTCAATAGTTTTTTAATTTTTATTTTATATCTCATGCAAAAAATTTTTTTGGCAAAGTAAATTTGTATCAAATTTTAAGATTATTGTATTAATCAAAATGGATGAGATATCCGTAAATATTCGTAAATATCCGTAAATATCTATTTATTTTCTGGATATCTGTTTTTTCGGATATCCGTATTTTTCGAAGCAAATCAATTACCAAAATTAAATATCTGTAACATTCGAATCAAATCATAAATACTTTGAAAAACCCGGATATCCGATCCGTGCCCACCCCTAATGAAAGTTATCATTTCAGGCGTAAAGCAAAATCCTCCTTCTCTGTCACGAATTTTCTGCCACTTTATATATATATATATATATATATATATATATATATATACTCCAGTCCACTATATTTATGTGGACTTTAGCTTTACTTGTTTTGGATGTTTGACCAACATTTATTTCTTGCGGATGTGTGTGCATCAGTGCATGGTATGCAAAGTACGTTTATTATATATTTTTCACAACATGCGCTTTCATTTATTCAAGAAAAATTATCGGAATAGTCAGCGGGTGTGTTTCAGGTCTTTGAAGATGGTAGGTAGAATGAATTTAGGTTACTTCGTTTATTTGATGTGTATGCCGGTTCACACAATTTTAATTTAGATGATATAGTTAGCAGTATCCAATTATGCATGGTGGTACGAGAATGACGAGCCTGAATTGTGAATCAAATCAATATGTTATGTACGAGAATCGAAGTATGGTGAGGAAAGCTGTTTTTTTTTTCTTTTTGATCAAAGTGAGAAAAGCTATTTAAATAGTGTTTTTCTCACTTTTGGTGCGCTAGCATTCGCGTTTTTGCCGAAATCTTGCTTAAAATTTTTTTTGACTGTTTGTTTAGTACGATATATAGTTTTTTTTCTTTTATTAATTTGGAAGTATCCTAGATCCATGGAGAATTCCAAACTAATCCCACTAATCCCTAAGAAAAGATACAGCTCATAGATAGGCTCTCTCTACAAGTATTCAAATGGACCCTACTTACCAAGCTAGTTTGTACCAAACCACACCGTTTTGGTTGGCGGTCTGGTCGATGGTCGAGTTAGCATTGGTGGTGCCTAGTTAGTGGAAGGCTGCCACTATAACAAAGGTGATCATTTGACCTCATTATATGAATTTCTATAAACAAAAATTTTGACTTGTATTTAAAATAAAAGAATGGGTGAAATGTTACAAAATAAATTTATATGACCCCTATAACTATGGTTGAAATCAATTTGATCCTGTTGAAAAATCTGGGTGGTTCCGCCACTAGACCTAGTCATGCTAGCACACGGGCTAGCGAGAATGGTTGTTGGTTGGATAGTTTGGATCTTTGCATATTACCTCTCAATTTTCACATTTTATTGCTATCACTTTTACACCTATTAAAATTCTGGCTTATAATCGTTATTTAGTCAGATATATCATCTTTCCTAAGATAAGTCTCGCTTTGCTCTAGTGTGTTTTTTTTTTCTCGCTTTGCTTGTATGTTTGTTTTAGTTACCTTTGTTAAGAGTTCTAATACTGTCGGTTGTTGGTTTCGGAGACACACCTAATTCGTGGTGGTGGTTGTCCGGCTTATGTTTCCGGGAGGTGGTGACTTCTTCAGCACCATTATCGTCGGCTTAGGATACCGGGAGGCGGTGGCTTCTTCAGCACCGCTATCGGCTTTGATACCGGGCGGTGGTGACTTCTTCAGCATCACTAGCGTCGGTTTGGTTTCCTCGGGTTTATCCCGTTCTTGTCGATCTACGAATTTGGTCTTCATCTTCTACTCTGCCTCTCGATCTAATATCTGGTGCCGCTTGTAAGTCGGAGATGGAGGATCGATTGTAGGCGTTTAATTTCTATGGTGATTTAGTAGATCTGTGTGGGGGGTATGAGTGCTCATTGTTTGAGCTTTACTGAAGTTTGGTTAGCTTTTGTTCCGGATCTGACTGTGCCGTCTACGGTGCTAGTGCTGGTCTGAAGTCGGAGGAAGAAGGTGGCGTTCGCTAGGGCACCTTCTGTTTAATGGGTTAGGGTTAGAGTTGGGCCGCTGTTGGGCCGTTTGTGTTTGTTTGATTGCCTTGGTTATTTGGGCCATGTTGCCAAATCACTTTGGGCTTTATGTTGTAACAAACTTTATTTAATAAATTAAGAGTGACAAAAAAAAAAAAAAAGCTCTAGTGTGTTTTACTGTTGATGTAAATTATTAAAAAACCATTTCAACATTTTAAAAGAAGTACCAAAGGCTGGTCGATTGGGAGTGTGATGTGGAAGTATCTGATGCACCAGTTCTGTCTTATAAAATTAGAAATTAGACGCACGTTTTTTATGTATGAGCAAATTAAGGTCCCACACCGAGTCGACCATTGTCAGAATAAAGATTATGCAAAGTTCTTCATGATGGCAGAAAATAATGACTTCTAATCGGACGGTTGCGAATAAGAGCCGCAATTTGTACAGTACGTACGAATTATTTATAATTTTGTCTTAAGTTTGTTCAAACAAATTAAACTATGGTTTCCGAATTATAGGTACCTGTATACCTTAATATTTTATAAAATATAACTATGCATTCTTGTTTTTAATAATGGTAATAGTTAATTTGTCATTTGTAATAAATTGTTGACAAACACAAATACACATACTATTGACCCAGCTATATTCTTTGTATATATTGTTCTTCGTATATATTGACACAAAATCCTTTATTTGTTTATCTTTATCTTTTTTTAGAACAGGCTAAAAATTCTTTATTTATCACGAAATTCTTTCAAACTACTATTTATTATTTTAAATAATATATTATACTTATTATAAAACAGTACAAAATACTATAAAAATTTTATTTTTAAAAAGGTAATATATAAATCTATTAAAAGATTCTAAATTACAAATTTATGGTGTTTCAAAAATTTCTAATTTATATCTATACTATTATTTGCGAAGTGATTTTTCGCAACAGAGCTCTCACGTTAAAAGTTAGAGCGGTTAATATCTATTTTACCCTTAATGAAATTTTTTATATATAATTAATTTTATAATTAAAAACGAAATTTTAAAAATAAAACTAGATAAGTACAGTAAAAGATATTTTTAATTATATAATTAAATATTAGGTATTAAAAATTGGAACGGTTCAAGTTAATGATACCTTTAATGAAATTTATATATTTATATATAAATTAGCTAAAGCCAAATTTTATGTTCGTGATATAAATTTATATGTTATTATATTAGTTAATTTATCATAAATTAATAGGATAATTATCTACATTCATGCATATTTAAACATAAGATATCTTATAGAATATTATATAGTTATCTGAAAATAATATTTTTTATTGTGAAAAATAAAAATGTAAGTTATTAAACAATTTAAAATTAAATATTAAGAGAAAATATAAATATATTTTCAAAACTATTTTATTATGTGGATTTTTTTCAACAGTATAATAAGCATATAGATTTTGATGAAAAATCATAGAAAAATATTTTAATGTTTGATTTAGGTTTTTTAAAACTATAGAAAATAACTTATAATATTATTTTAGAATTAATAGAACAAAAAATAATAAATATTCGTAAGAAAATTATGCCCGCATATGCGGGCACAACACCTAGTTTTTTAAATGTTTCATCTATATTATGGTGATGTCAAATGAATAACTCTCTTGAACACAGTATGTTACAACCAAACAAGTATAAATTAGAGCTCTTATGACCTTGTCAATTAAAGTATCTAGCAAGACGTTCCTTTTTTTTGGTTCTATGAAAAAAACTCTTGCAGAAATTCAATTGACTTTTTCTATATTTTAGTTACATAATTGTCAATCACATTCATGTTTTTTTTCTAACAATTTTTTATGTATATATTTTTGTTTCTGGTTTTGTTACTCTATTTTTGTTTCTGGTTTTGTTTTAATACTTTATTTTTGATTTTGATTTCATACTCTATTTTCGTTTGTGTTTTTGTTTTAATGATCTAATAGTGAAGAATAATGATGGCGGACCGGCAAAAGCGTTGCGGTGTCGGAAAAAAATGAGAAGAGATGAAGATGATCTCAATATGGTGGTGAAAATAGAAGCGGTGAATGAAATGAAGGTGTACTAACATGTTTGAAAAAAGACTTGAAAAAGATGAATTCACCGTTTATACTATATTCGAGGAAAAGAATAGTATAGTATGTATTTTTTGTGTAGCTATTTATGTAGGATTATCACATTGTTTGAGACATATTTCTATACTATTTCTTAAAAATCTAATAATATGCCATATTTTCAAATTTGATAATTATCTTCTCTATCATTTTGTGTAACTGATTGTAATATGAAATTCATTTTTCAAGTGTTGGAAATTTTTGATTATCTAGAACATTCGTTTACTATACTACTTAAATTGAATTGAATAAAAAATATGTAAGAGCATGTTTATTGGGGGTGCTTAGAGATGGTGTTTAAGGGAGTAAAATGCTTAGTTTTGAAAGGAGAGAGTGTTGAAAGTGCTTAATTAAACATTTTCAACACTTTCTCCCTTCAAAACTAAGCACTCCACTTCTCTAAGCACCCCCTTAAGCACCCTCCCAATAAACATGTTCTCACCTGCTAACCCAAAAGCCAGAACATGGGAAGTCTTCTTTCTTAGACCAACATTTTTGTTATTGTTTTAGTTTTGAGTTTATCTTATCTTACATAGGTCATGTACATGTCTTATCAAAAAAGTATGTAGCCAATCAATGCAGAAAAATATTGTGGTTAAGAAGATACCAATTATTTTTCTGATTGGTTTAATTGTGGACTATTAGTGTTTGTGGTACCTCTCAACTGGTGCATTTTAACAAACAAATAAATAGCATTAAACATAACTCAAACCCAAAAGTCAGAACATGGGAAGTCTTGTTTTAAAGGCATATAGAGAGCAAGATTCTTAATTGAGTTTCTGACTTTCGAACTCTAGATAGATTGATAGATTCACAAACTTAACTAAACAAAACAAAACAAAAAAGAGACGAGAAAATGAGATTCGGGAGAGAGTTTGCGTCTAAGATGATCTCAGAGTGGCAAGAAGCTTACATAGATTACCCTTACCTCAAAACCATCCTTCAAGACATCCAAGCAAACCGGAAATTTTCAGTTTCCAACAATCAGACAAAACCTTCCTTCGCACGCAACCTAACTAGACGCTACACCCGCAACGCCTCTGTCTCTGAGAATCACGTCATTATTTTCAACACTGTCACTCATGCCGACTACGAGCACGATGTGACTTACGAGACGGCGTTTTTGAAGGCAGGAGAGCCAGGTGGAGACTCTGAGGCTGCCTTCTTTAGAACCCTAGATCGAGAGTTCAACAAGGTGAATAGCTTCTACAGGTTGAAAGTGGAGAAAGCCAGGAACGAGTCTTTGGCTCTGAGTAAACAGATGGATGCTTTGGTTGTGTTCAGACACAGAGTTAAGGAGAAGAAACAGTCTCCCTCTGATTCTGTCTCAGTAGACATCAACACCTTGTCTAAACATAGTAAGTTTCTCTGATTGCTTTTAGGTCTAATTTGGCATGTGAGTATTGAATCTTTATGCTTTTGTATATTCAGAAGTGACATTAGGTGATCTAATGAAGAACGAGGAAGCAGCCAGTGAGAGTATTCTTGAGGGTATCAGGATGAACAGAACACTGGAAACTCCACTCTCCACTATTAAAACCATCCTCAAGGTTAATAAGCAAGAGGAAGAGCTCAAGTTCACAAGAGAGAATCTCAAGAAAGTTGAGGAGAGACTTCAGAGAGCGTTCATTGAGTTTTATCAGAAACTTGGACATGTTAAGAACTATAGCTTCTTGAACACGTCAGCGGTTTCCAAGATCATGAAGAAGTATGATAAGGTACTTTCTACGTAACATCTACCGTATGACATTTACAACTTTAGTATATATATATATATAACGGTTGATATGCACTACTATCTTAGATAACTGCAAGAAATGCTGCAAAGCAGTACATGGAAATGGTGGATAGCTCTTACCTAACTAGCTCTGATGAAGTAAGCAGCTGTTTTAAAAACACACTTGGTTATCTACTAAAAGAAACCTTAACTTAAAGCTTTAAACATCTTCAGATTCACAAGCTGATGGTAAGAGTTGAATCAACTTTCATTCAACATTTCTGCAATTCAAACCGGAGACTAGGGATGAACCTCTTAAGACCAAAAGAGAACAAAGAATGTCATGGAATCACATTTTCCACCGGTATATAACAAAACTGTTACACATATCCAATCTTTGAGCTGTGTGTTTTAGGAGTAGTTCATCATAATGTTCTGTTTTTTTTTTTCAGGCTTCTTCTTTGGCTGTGTTATTTCTCTCATAACAGCTCTTGCTCTGATCATCCATGCCCGGAATATCATGGGAACACCAGGACAAAGAACATACATGGAAACAATGTTCCCTCTTTACAGGTATGCAACTTATACATACAAACCAAACTCTCTAAATATTTATATGTACATTTCATTTGCAGGTTCTTTGGGTTTGTAGTCTTGCATGTTGTTATGTACGCTGCTAATATCTACTTCTGGAGGAGATACCGTGTGAATTACTCTTTCATATTTGGATTCAAACAAGGCACTGAACTTGGTTATAGACATGTTCTACTTCTAAGCTTTGGTCTTGGTACACTTTCTTTGTGTGCTGTCTTGTTGAACCTTGATATGGAAATGGATTCTCAAACAAAAGATTACAGAATAGTCACTGAACTTATTCCTCTCTTCCTCCTCGCTGTAAGCTCCTTCACTCTGCCTCTCTCATTACTATTCACAACTCAATGCCTTTGTGTTTTTTGATTGCTTCCTCTTCACGTTTCAGCTAGTGATTGCCATTACTCTTTGCCCCTTAAACATTCTCTATCGGTCAAGCCGATTCTTCTTCCTCACGGTTCTGTTCCGCTGCATCGCTGCACCGTTTTACACGGTACCAACAATGACCTCTGCGACAAAATCATTAACAACATGTTAACATGAATGTTTTTGCATTTTTTTGCAGGTGAATCTTCCAGACTTTTTCTTAGCAGATCAACTAACAAGCCAGGTTCAAGCACTGAGGAGTCTAGAGTTCTACATATGCTACTATGGATTTGGAGATTTCAGACAAAGACAACGAAACACATGCAGATCAAACAATGTTTTCACAACATTCTACTTCATTGTAGCTGTTATACCTTACTGGTTACGGTTTCTTCAGTGCATCAGAAGAATAATTGAGGAAAAAGATCTGAGTCATGGATACAATGCCATCAAGTATCTCTTGACCATCGTTGCTGCTTGTCTCAGAACAGCATATACTCTTAACAGAGGAACCACCTGGAACATCACAGCTTGGGTTTTCTCAGGAGTTGCAACGCTTTACGCAACTTACTGGGACATTGTTATTGACTGGGGGTTGCTTCAAAGAGGATGTAAGAACGGTTTCTTGAGAGACAAGCTTCTTGTTCCTCACAAATCCGTGTACTACACTGCAATGGTGAGCACTCAAAATCAGCAATATCCTCAGCAACTTTTTTTTTTTTCCTAATGTTGCTTCATCTTCTTGACAGGTGTTGAATGTTTTGTTGAGGTTAGTGTGGTTGCAAACAGTTTTGGATTTGAAATTCTCTTTCTTACATAGAGAAACTCTTGTGGCGCTTCTGGCTTGCCTTGAGATCATACGCAGAGGTATATGGAACTTCTTCAGGTAAGGTTCAGAGAGTTGAGTAATGTTTGTGTCCAAAGATCTATACATAGTTAAGCATCTTTGATATGTTTTGTTGATTAGGCTGGAGAATGAGCATTTAAACAATGTTGGGAAGTTCAGGGCGTTCAAATCTGTTCCATTACCATTCAACTACCAAGAAGATAGAGATCAAGACAATTAGCTGAACAAAATATATACTCCCTCCGTTTCAAAAAGAGTAACATTCTAGAAAAAATATTTATTTCAAAATGATCCATTTTTAATTTTCAGTGTATGACTTAATGATTAATTGTAGATTTCAAAAAAAATAATTGTGTTTCTTAAAATTCTATTGGTTAGAAAATATAGGGAATTATTATCTATAAAAAATGATGCATTAGTAATCAAAATTTTATGTTTTTTTTTAATACGTGTAAAAAATTAAAAAATTCAACTTTTTGAAACATAAGGAGTACATGTAATATGGTTTTTACGAGACTACCTTAAGAAAAAAGGATTAACCTAACATACGTTTAAATTCTTGAATATAAAACAGAGTTTATTGGAAACACTAAGGGCAATAGTATCATGCATTGTTTCCTTTAGATTCTCATAACATCGAGGTAAGATTTTCCATCAAGCTTACGTGAGAAGAAGCCTTTGATATACTCCTCGATGGTCACACTTTTGAAAAATGCAGCCTTTGACCTTTCCACAAGACTTCTCAGAGGACCAACTTGTTTACCTAGTCCCAGATTGTGAAATGCTGCCACAGAAAGCCTCTCTTTCTCTGAGTTCACAACTCCACGATGCTCTATACTTCGGTATGCCCCGTTCGTTATGATCTACATTTGATTACCAATACTATAAATAAAACCATTTCTACAATCACAACCGATCCCATGATTTTAGGGGCTTTAAACAATTTATTAAGCATTTTAGTATAGAAATATTTTAAACAAATTGGGGGTCGATGTTCTTATATATTAACTCAAAATATTTTGGAGGGCCAACGTATATATGTTTTACTTGGTTATGTCAAGGACCAAATATGTTAGTGCATGTATAACTTACCTCTAAGACATCTCCAATGTTAACAACGAAAGCATTTGGGAGCGGTTTGACAGGAACCCACTTGCCATTTTTCTTGATTTGGAGACCTTCAACATCATTAACCTGCAACAATATGGTGAGTGCTGAAGAATCGGAGTGTGGAGTTAAACCAATAACCTGGTCTGGCTCAGGACAAGGAGGGTAGTAATTCATCCTCATTGTTTGTCTTAACTCATCATCAAACAACTTTCCCATTTCCTCCGGTTTGATCATCAAGGCGCTCGCCATTTTCGCTAATAAAATCTTGGCTATGCTTTTCACTTGAGAAGAATACATGTCTAGTGTATCTCTGAACAAACAATAAACATGTTTTAAGACTTGTGGATTACTTGGTAAGAAAGGGTTTACTATTTGAAGCAAAAACCTAAAGGGAAGAGGTAACTTGGGGAACAAGTGAGACTTGCGTAAGTGGACAGGTTGCATTACAAGGAGGAACATGTCTGACCAATCGAGTTTCTGCTCATCTGAAACCACAAAAGTTTGTCCAAACCCTTCGACCTCACTAGGTTGTTGCCAGAGCTTCTTCTTCTCTTCCATGGGAAGGTTGGAGAAATCTTGAATCTCTGACTTGAATTTGTCCAAGAAGCATGGTTCCATTCCATGGTTTACAAGCTAGAGATGATCATAACATGCAACAATGAATATATTTATAGGGTTAAATGATTGTATAACAAAAAACCATATAAAATAAAATATAACTAGACAAAATTATATTAACCTTTCTTCAATTAGTTAATATTTTTAAATAAAGCAAATAAAATAACTATTTTATAGATATGAAACAACATTACTTTTCTGTAAGTCTAATTTGATTCCATATATTATATATATATAGATTGATTTCTACATCAGTAATAACACAATCCATAAAAATAGAAATATTATGCATGCTAGTCATACTATTTGTATTTGGCAAAAATATTTTGATAACAGTTTCATATACAACACACAAAATAAGGTCCACATGAAATGACTTTAAATCTTGTGGTCCTCGTGCACAAAAAATAAAATAAAATCATGTGGTCCTATGTAATTTTCCCACTATACTTATGTGATTTTATATATTTTCAATCAAGCACATACACTAGCAAAGGAAAGCAATAATCAAAAACTATATATTTTTCTATATAGATCAGACTCAGACAGACGAAAGTGTTCTTTGAAGATTCGGTTCGTCTGACCACTACTTAATCTAATTTAGATGGACGATTGACGAAAAAAAAAATATATATATATATATATATATTCAACTACAAATAAATGAAATATATTTATAAACACAAATAAATAAATAGAGATAAATTCATTAAAAACTAGATAAACAAATTATAGTGGTCCATTATAGAAAATATAAGAAACTCATGAGCATCTTTTCTTGTTAATTTGTTGTTCGCATATTCTGCGGTTATCGATTCTAAAAACTAAAATCTCATACAAATTTATATTTTTATATCTATATATGGGCTTTAATTAATGCTATAACAAACAAAGAGGGTTTATCATGTAAACAAAAATTATTAAGGGGTAATTTCGATAAACAGAAATATCAAGACTTGCCTGAAAAAATCCCCATTCTTTGCATGCATGCCAAGTCGAGCTTGTGAATCTCAGTATCCATGGAGGTTATAGAACACAAGAGATTCATGTCGATGATTGGGATCTCGGCTCTTAAATCACCATTGATCTCACCTTTGTCTAAATCAGACCGTACATACCTAGGAGGAACCGTCATTGTCGGCTTCTCCTTCACCATCTCTTGAACAGATGGAACTATGATAGAGCTATACTGACTTGCTCCCTTGGCTTCCATGGCGGATTCTTCTAGGAAGGAAGAAAGTGTTGATACTAGTGCTAAATATAATGAATAGGCTCTTGGCTGTTTGCTACAAGTAGCGCGATAAGTGAAGTACTACGTGTTTACCAAAAATTAAAGAGAAGTATTTTTACCAAAAAAAAAAAATTAAAGAGAAGTATTTCGTTTTTACCAAAAATTAAATTGAAGTATAACGTTTTTACCAAAATAAAAATAAACTACTACGTCGTTTGAATGTGGTGTTTTTCTGCATGGGTAGATCGCCTGTAATTGAAGTAGAAACTACTAACACAAAGCAGTTTAGAACACTGTAAAAAAAGTTTAGAACACTGTTTTGTCTTAGTTTCATAAAAATGTTGAGCTGGCTATTGACAAGATGACATATGATAGTTAAAGAAGCATGCCGTCTTCTAGCATGCACAATTGGAATAGACTAATAAGAGACGAATTCTAAAAACAAAAGTTCAATATTTTTTTAAAAGTATATAAAACTGGTAGGACCTGAATCTTTAAATTTTTAATTATAATTCTAAA